GAAAGCAATACAAAATTAATTCTATTTTAAATGACTTAGCGATTTGTGACCAACCTAGTACATATAAACTGATTGAATAACGAATATCATTCTTTGGAACTAGTTTGATTAGTTGAAAATTCTTTTATCCATTCTATACGGGGTACAATTGAAATGCAGAGCTTGCGGGAGATGACAGGGGATTATAAAGCAAGAAAATTAAGTAAAAGTTTGTATGTCCCAACTGTCACTGATTTCCAGAATAATGTATTCGAAAGTAAAGGCAAGGACCAGTCCGACCTCAGTAAATCATGCAGAGAAATACGATAACGCCACGCTGCATTCAATCAGCTTGTAATTATCAGTATCAATCATTACCACCAGGACAATGTATTACTATAGAACAGTTATTGTTATTATTTAAGATCGGTAACTGTTTTGTTATTGGCATGGTATCGAGAATTACCAAATATGAGTCAGGAGGCAACAGAAGAGCATAGAAAGCGGGAAACAGACCTACTAGAACTACCAACTGTATAGACGTTTTAATATTTTTTTTCTTAGTTTTATAAAAATGATGAGGCATTAGAAAAAGTAGGCGAATAGAGGTCACTGTGGAAGTTAATAGAAGAAATAGGACAGCCCTAAAGTAGTGCACCCGAAATAACAGTGAACTTAAATTTTAATGGAATAGTTGCTAAATTCTTATCAGTTGTAGCGAGTTCGTCGTGCAGCAAACAAATTTTTAGGCGCAAGTGGAGTTGGTTCAGTGATTTACGCAAAAATTGCTTCAGACGCCAACTTTCTCCATCGAAAAGTTCTTTATCATCGTAGACTATGACATTCAAACACAACAGCCCGTGTCTATGTTCGGTGAACACAATAAACTTAATTATTATTAGAACTTAATAAAGTGATAAATTCTATATGCAAGAATCTATACAGTGATGCATCTGGAAATCAATTTAGTTTCTTCCGAATACCGACAGGAGAAAGGTACGTTTCGAAAAATAGTGTCCATAGAATTGATCATCTTTGTAAATATTGACAACCGAGAAGACGCTGTGTTATATTTATTGTATATTGTACATTACAATAAAATTGAAATTATTATTAGTTTCATTTGCCCGATATGTTAATAGATGTGTGTGTAATTTACAGAGGAGCATTGTGGTTAAAGAAAATTGACAGAGCCGATATATTTAGATGGCTGCTGTTTAGTCCTAATAAATATCTATATTTTATACAATTATTTTAATTCGAAAACTTTTCCGTTTAGTGAGATTTAGTATTGTTAATTACTTTCATTACATTTCAAGTTTCTAAATTTCTTTGTTCCTTTGTTAAATTCAACTTTATAACACTACTTCAAATATTTCTTCAAACATTTTAGATCATAAATTCTTTTCTTATATTATTTGGTGTTATAATATTTGTAAATAATTTCATTGTCATGCAGACAAAATGTACGTGATGAATTCAACAATTCCTGGTAGCATAAATGAGGTTTTTCTGTCACTAATACCTGGCCCATTGTTAGCTCTTGTATACTTGTTTTCAGAACTTTTCTGTATCTATTGAAGTCAACACCCTCTCGTCTATGACGACATTCAGGAAATTCCTCCATTTATCTACCACCAGAATATCTTTCATTTAGACTCCACCCCCTTTGTTAGTTGTTCTCTAGGTTTAAGTAAATTGAATATTGTTAGTTAGTATGTAAGAAACATTCTCATTAAACACATCAACTCAAATTCGCTACTAGTTTTATTTAAAACATTCTAGTAGAACGGTAGTTCAGTAACGCAACTTCCGAGTGGTCTCCGGATAATTTTTTATCTTACGACTGCACAAAACAGCTCCTACAAAAATAAAAATGTTTGTGGTGCCCATTTTGAAGACGAATTCTTTAAAAATATTAAACAGAATCGTTTAACCTCTGAAGCCTTTCCGTCTAGGTAAATAGTTTGGTACTTTCTAAGGTGTAATAAAGCAGTAATGCATATAAAATTTATATATTTGTCCTTAACCTCAACATTTCTTATTTTGTATCATGTGACTTCACAAACCCTCCAAAAGCTGTTTAGCTTGACATCAAGGAAGATGAAGCTTATAAAGGAGACCAAGTTTCTTCAAAAATCACTAAAGAAAACATTTGAAGATATCATAAAATTTTATGAAGAAAATTGCAATTAAGGAACTGTAAATTTTATTAAAAGGCAGTTTCAGTTGCGAAAACGATACCCACAAGGATTTAGATTTAAGCTGTTTGCGCTACATATTTATTTCCTTGAGCTAAACGTTTATCGCAGTTTAGCGAAAACTTTTTATTTGCCATCTAAATCAACTCTTTGCAGAATAATCAGCAAACGGGAAGTGACACCACCACTAAATGACTTTATTTTAGTGTTGTGAAAAGTAGTAAAATGGATACAATGACGGATTTGGCAAAGGACTGTGTAGTTTGTGCTGATGAAGTTAGTTTAAAAACAAATTTATTTATAGTACAAAGACAGAATTGTAGGATTCCATTGTATGAATGCACAAAGACAATACATGCCTGCGAATACTGCTTTAGTATTAATGATAAGGGGTATTCATGTAAATTGGAAGCAGTCGATTGCATATTTCGTAATTAATGGTTCTTGTCCAGTGCATGACTTGCAAAAGATTATCATCGAAACTTCGATTGTAAAACTGCAAGACATTGGATTAAATGTAGCAGTATTTATTACAGATCAAGGATCAAAATTTATTCACTTATCCAGTAAGTTAGGTGAGTCCTCAAAAAACTTATTCTTAGATTGACGGTCAGGCATTTTTTTATTTATTTGACACTCCTCAATTTATTCAAATCAACACGAAATCAAGCACAAGTAAAGCATTTCTTGAACATTTTTAAACTTGAGACAAGCAACAAACGTTTCGGTTGGCAACTAAATTAACTGATGGCAACATACATCCCAACAACTTCGAGCGGATGAAAGTAAAATTAGCAGCTCAAGTTGAGTATCACCGTGGCTGCTAATTGCACATATATTGCATTGAATGAACTTCCTGCAACGGCGATGGCAACTGCAGTGTTTATTTCCAAAATTGATAAACTGTTCGACATTTTGAATTCATATAGTTTCAAAGCGCATAAAACGATGAATAAACCCCTCACAGAATGAACATCAAATGACTTTCCTCCATGAGATGTTATATTTTTTAAAGAACATGACAATTTACAAAAACTAAAGGAATGTTACAAATATGATGAAATTTATAAAGGGATGGTAAATTACTATCCGCAGTATTGTGTCTCTGTGGGATGTATTAAAATCCAAGAAATCGTTTTTATGTACAAGAGGATTCAATCAAGATTCTCTTGAGAATTTCTGTGGGTCCATCCGTCAATAAAGTGAAAATGCATTTAATCCAATTCAATTTAGTCGAGCGTTTAAAAAGTTAGTTTGTTTATATTATTTTAAATATGTGAAAGCATGCAATTGTATTGACGATTTAGGTGCTATTTTAAGGAATATAGATATAGTAGTTCTAAGTTCAAGGTAGTTGTTTCGCAGAATCTTTTAAGGAACATTTTATTGACTTTAAAGATACGGACTATTACATACTGAATTTGAAAATGCTGTAACGTATGTCAATGGGTATTTTTTACAACTATGTTTTGAAAAACACATGTAATTTGTGCGTGACAACATTATTGGAAGACAATTTAACTACAAGTAAAGTATATATAAATTTTAGGGTTTTCGATGATACTACTTCCTGTGCTTCTGCTTCCACTTTTGGCAAGTTAATTGTTCCTATTTGTAGAATATGTGAAACAGATTTTTTGTGATTGTATTTTCTTGTTTAATAATAGAACAAATAACAACAACGCTTGGAAAATATATGCGACTGAACTGAAACTTTTTTAATTTTTTTATATTGATTTAAATTCTCACTCGGCAAAACGCAAGATTACAGGGTTAGTTTTATCAACAAAGTAACTGTCGGTTGTTTAAAGTTGAGATAGAAGAAAATTTTTGATTAACATTGTGCGAAAACTTGGTTATTTTATAATTATTAAGACCTACTCTTTATCTGCATATTTCTGTTCGAAACATATGAAATTCCCACGACACCAACTCTAGGTATGTACTTAGATCCCATCTCCAATAAGCAATGCGCAGTAGCTTGTGCGAAGTTCAATTAAAATCAAAAACATCAAAGTATATTGCTGCGAAGTGAAACTACTGTACATAGTTTATGCTGTGAATAGTAGTAAAATAAATACACTTAGTATAACTACCAAAAGTATAAATGGTATTATAAATATTTTACTGTTGTAAATATGCCACCTTTAAAATTAAACTTATTTTTTTGAGGCTTGTTCTGTATACTGCTCTGACCATCCTAGTTTTTAACATTAGTCGTCATAGATTTTACAGATGCTTTAAATGTATCATCACTCATCAGTCAGCATTCCACCGTCCTCCTATTTAGGGTTTTTGACATGACTTCTACAGTTTCAATGAATTTACAATAATATTAATTCTTTCATGAATACAGTTTACATTCATATACAAATTAAAATTAATATTTCATACAAATTAAATATCTCTATTTAAGTACACTAAAAATAAAAAAGAAATTACTCCAAGAACAACAACAGTCTTAAATCATGATTTTTTTAATCTAAGAGAATCATATAGGTATATGTTTCTTAAATCCGCCATTGCATTGAATCTAGATCAGAATTTAGGAATTTATACCTTATTTATAAGGGTCAAAACGATCAATCGCCGATAAAATCCTTGTTTAGAAAATCAAATTCAATTAACGTTTTATATAAACTGTGGAAATTCTGAGTTGGACTTAAACAGCTTATCCTAATGTAGGACTTCCATATGCATTCCACATTAGCACCTTAACAGGAATTTTTAAAATTGGACAACCTTCTCAGGTTCTCACAATATACGAGGGTGGATTGATAAGTTTCCGGCCTAACCAAGAGATGACGCCACTAGGCCTACCTTGAGGTGACATTNTGCTATTTATTGTCTTTTTATTACAAACATTTATTTATATTTAAAACATTTTATCAATGTGATTAGTTTCGTGTTCTGCTTTATATTTAAAATAATTGCAGCAGTTTTCCCTTCTATGTAATATTTTTTTTACAATACAATTGGAAATAGATATCAAATTAAGTTTACTACATTTACATCATTTTAATCTTATTAACGTTTTTTTTTAAATATTTCACGATTAATATAATCAATTATTATGCAATATGAAAATGTATATATTCTGTCAAATTAACGACTAGATAGGGGGTTCGTCAAATTTTTTCGGACCTTTCTTTTGGTTCGCGAGGAAAAAAAGGTTGGGAAACACTGGTGTAGTGTATACCTATAAGTGCGTACAGGCTGTTCGGGTAGGAGTTGACCGAGGGAAATTTAAGGTGTGTTTAGTTCTAAGACACAAAAACACTTTTACATTGTATCAATAACATAAGATCAATTCAAACTATCAAACAAGCATCTTTTTGAGTAGCAAGTAATATCAATTTTACTTAATAAATTGTATAAACGTATTATACAGTACGGATCTTTGTAATCGACATACACTGGTCCTTCGAGTTTCATATTTTGTGTAACCTATTATTGATCTAAGTGGTACAGCAGTACACCGACGGAAACAACAAAGAAATTTCGTCAAGCGAACCAAGCTCCCCAACAGAAGTAAATTAATGAAATATACCCCAAATGTACGAAATAATAAAGTGACTATTCATTAATACTAGTAGTTACTTCTTTTAAACATTTGAAAATATTTATCTAAGGAAATTGTTGGGTACGGGGATGCGCAAATAAAAACGCTGGGGTCTGTGAAGTTGACGGAGTAAGTGCCATCGCGAAAGTTGATATTATGTCTTTTATTGTTCAAAATCTCCCTTGCTTATTGGACACCCCTATACAGAACAACGCCATTTCTGGTTCATCAAGACTGCGGACGAATTAATAGTGAACGAAACTCTCCTATTACTAATACAGAGGTATATTGACCTAATAAAGTAATTCTGACAACGAAAGCCGCATCAGCTATTCCTAATAATATTTTGGGACATATTGCTGAAAAAACTAACGTAGCAAACACAGACTTTTGTGTAGGTGTAATACGCGAAGTTAACGGCATCATATCGAGGTGTATACTAAAAACTGACATGAATTGTGAATCTGTTTTGCCCGTTCTGAATATCAGCGGTAGTGACATGACACTAACAAAAGACAGCAGTGTAAAACGTGCAGAAGTTTGTGCCAAAGGAAGAACGTTAGAGAAACAAACCAAGAAGAAATCCAGAAAGACGATATTGACACCGATTCAGAAGGAGAGGAAGCAGAAAAGGTACTAGAATTAATGAACGCATATAAGGATTTGGTTGCGAAGAATATAAAATAGATTGGATGCACCAAATTGCTCGAAATGGATATCCAGTTAACGGAGGACAAGCCGGTGTTTTATAAACCCAACAGGATGTCACTCAAAGAATGCCAACAAGTGCACGAAATAATGGACGAGCTTTTAGACGGGGACATAATCGAGGATAGTAGTTCGCCTTTCGCGAGCCCTATTAATGAAAAAGAAAACAGATGAAGTATGGTTACGTGTGGACTATCGTGCGTTAAACGAAGTCACGGTAAAAGAGCATTATCCATTACCGTATATTGACAACCAACTGGACAAACTTCGTGGGGAGCGAGCGTCTCTATTCTACGCTGGATTTTAGCAGTGGTTACTACCAGGTTCCTATGTCTGAAGACTAGAAAGGTAAAACTCCTGATGTTGTTTATTTTTTCCCTAGAAGGAGTTTCGGCCTATGTAATGCGTAAAGTGTTTTCCAAGGTCTTATATAGTTTTACGCAATTTGCAAAATCAGAAACTGTATAGGAGGGCTAAATTAAGTTAAAAGAAATATTTGACAAATTTAGACATGCCAATTTGACTTTGAAATTAAGTAAGTGAAGTTTTTTTTATGTATAGTGCATGCTACTACTTCAGTTTTGAAATTTCGTTAACAGGAATTTCTCCGAGTCAGGAGAAATTAAAAGCATTGGCCGAAAACCCGGCGCCAACAAATGTTCATGAAACCCGTTCATTTTTAGGACTATCCAGCTACTTTCGCTGATTTATAAAAGGATTCGCGACGCTAGCCAAACCGATTACTAATTTATTGAAAAATATGTAATTTTTGAGTGGCACAATCAATAGCAAACCCCTTTTGAAACGACTAAATCAAAATTAATGCCTAGGCCCGTTTTGAGTGTATACAATCCTGAGCATATACCAAACTTCATACGGGTTCTTCATACTTCATTCCCAAGGGTTGGGGGTGCTTTATTGCAACGCCAGAGATGGGCCATTGCGTCCCATCTCGTTTTATGGTCGCAAAACAACAGGAATCTAGGTATCACTCCTATAAGCTGGAATGCCTAGCGATTGTTTCGGCCTTAGATAAATACAAGGTTTACTTATCAGAAATTTCGTTTGTAATCAAAACTGATTGCAACAGTCTAAAAATGCCAGCTAATAAAAGAGACTTTATTTAACCCATGAATCGGAAGGTGGTTTATAAAATTATCAGAATTCGATTATGTTATCGAATATCATCATCATTATAAGGTAGTTAGTCGTAAGACTGATTAGACACGCACTTCCACTGTTTCCTATCCTGAGTTAATCATCGCATTTCCTTAAAACTAGAGCAACCCATATACTTAACTATTTGCGAACATTAATTTAATCTAGGTTTACCTCTACCCTTCCTAACCTCCGTTTCTGACTCTAATATGTCTCTGACTAGACCTTCATGCCTGAGAAGGTGTCCTACTAACCTATCTCGCCTATTTCTTATTGAATTCCTTAGAGTCCTCTACTCTCTTACTCTTTCTAATACCTCTTCATTTCTAACTTTCTCCTTCCATGGTATCCATCATTTGCCTGTAACACATTTCGAACGCTTCTAACCTTTTCTTTTCCGCTGCGCCCACTGTCCATATTTCGCACCCGTACAGCGCCGTGCTTCAAACATACACCTTTAACAACCTTTTTCGAATTTCTAAATTAACCGCTCGCGACCATAAAAGTGACTTCTTTTTATTGAAGGCGACACGACCCTGCGCTATCCTCTGTTTTATATCCCTACTCCTCCTTCCGTCTTGACTTATCGAATATCATAAAGATGAAAACAATAAGGTGGCGGACGCTTTGAGTAGAAGTCCGGCTGCAGAAGGCCAGGACGTTCTAATAACTGGACATCCAGTTTTTGGGATAACAACACAGATTTGGTGGCTGTGCCAGATGTTAGTGCAGAAAACACTGTAAATTTCTTGCGAGAATTCAATATGCACTACGACAAACCAGACAAAATTATTAGCGACCGAGGAGCGGCTTTTGGTTCCAAAAGGTTCGAAGAATTTTGCAAGGGATTTTATATAATTAACGTAAAAAACTCTACAGCTGTGCCACGAGCAAACGGACAGGTCCAGAAACTTAAAGACGAGATCTTAACCTGTTTAGCTACATCTGATGAATTAGAGGGAAGCGATTGGGATTCAAAAATTTTTGAGGTAGTGGGCCTTTAAGAATGCGACACATAGTATATCAAAACTAATTTGTAATTCAACAAGGATTGTTCAAGTATTTTTCCGATAAGTGCCGGGCTCTGCTCCCCTTAGAAAGCTCCTTCTTGGAAATCATCTTTCGGCCGCCTGTATATGTCCGCTTAATAAACATTACATTGCTATGCACTAGAGATGGGATGGGGCATTCCCTCTCTGCCGTTGGTTCAATAAAAACCTATTGGTAATAAATTCTGTACATTTTCCTGTGTACTTTAAAAAATAGATTAAAATATTTACGTAAGCCTGACAAACACCATTTAGCGTGATTCATCCTTATGAACAGAATGGGTTTTAAGTAACCCTTTGGCGACAGAAATTCGAAACGTAAATAGTACGGTAGAAAATATCGGTGGGATCAAAAAAAAAAAACATTAAGTGCCGGTAGTGGTTAATAATGTCAGAACGATATTCAATTGTTGACGAAGTGCGTGACGCACAAGACGATTGAAGGGGAGCCCAATCCAACACTCCCCCGTTAACAGCGGAGATGGTACTATGGCAGGCTGAAAATCTTCAGGAAACTGAGTACAGGCTCATTTTCAAGTAATACAGACGCGAATAGATCAAATTGGGTGCCTTTTAAAGAAGATCAATTGTTAACTGACCCATCAAACGACAATCTAGGAATTAATGACTGGTTAAAAAGAGTAAATCAATGTTCTAAAACGTATCATTGCGACGAAGTCACCACTATTTATTTAGCGTCGGGGAAGTTAAAAGTCCTTGCTAGTTTATGATAGGCAAGCCAAAAAACACACAGCTTTCATGGTCACAATGGTAAGAATTGTTAAAGAACACATTTCCTCACAAAATAACATGCAAAAATTGGGAATCAAATTGTTGACTTACAGATTTCGGTAGCGAATGCACGCTCATAAAATTATCAATAGCCCGCAAATTGAATTTGACCTTCAAAAAAATACCAGTAATGACACAACTGCGAGGGTTCAGCGGGGGCGCTATACGACCGATTTTCCAATGCGAAACTATTATTACTGTCAGCGGTATTACTTTAGAAACCTTGATTTATGTCATAGAAGACAAACATATGTTCACAGACTAGCTGGTGGGGCATACATTCACCAAAAACCCATCAATTTTAGTAATCAAAACAAGCAAACAGCTAATATTTTCAAAATTGCCAAAATTGTCTGGGATAGAAAATTAGTTCATTAAATGCGGTAATTTTAATGATAAACAAAAACAAGAACTATATGAACTCTTACGAAGTTACAATCAGGGGCGCAACAAGGGGGAGGGGGGTCCGCGGGTGCCCGGGCTCCCACTCCATTGGTTTGGGCACCCAGTCAATTCAGATAATAACCTAACTATAATAACCCTTTTTTTAGCTATTATTACGAT